TGGGGCAAGGAGAAAGATCCAAGTACAAAGACCAAGTGGGGTCAGTCAAAAGCTGCTTCCAAGTCTAAACACATTTCTAATGAGATTGATCCAGATATGCAGCAAAATATATGGAAACTTAGACCTGGAGTTACAGATAACTTTGCTGGCAAATTATCTTTATGTCTTGGCATGCCTGTTATGATTAGAAATAATGATGCAACTGAACTCTGTATTACCAAAGGTCAAGAAGGCTTTGTAGCTGGCTGGCAAGCAGAGAAAGGACCCCATGGCAAGCAAGTTCTTGATACACTTTTTGTAAAATTGGATAAACCTGCAAAAACTATTCAACTTCCAGGACTTCCTGAAAATGTAGGACCATTAATGAGAGCTACTAAAACTATTCCTTGTAAATTCCCAAGTGATATTATTGAGAGTATTGAGCGTCAGCAAGTACAAGTTTTGCCCAACTTTGCAATGACTGACTATGCAAGTCAAGGAAAAACTTGACCATATAATGTTGTTTATCTTGGAAGCTGCTATTCACACATGTCATACTACACTTGTCTGTCAAGGAGTGCTACTGCTGCTGGAACTATCATTCTTCAAGGATTTATGCCCAAGTTTATTACTCAAGGTTGTTCAGGATATCTCAGACAGGAATTCCATGAGCATGAAGTACTTGATGAAGTGACTAGACTCAGATATGAAGGTCTTCTGCCAGCTTAAATTCAAGGCTATACTCGCAATACAATTATTAGACAATTCCAAAGATGGAAAGGAGCTAACTATGTTCCAGATAAAGTTGATTCAGCTCTTCAATGGTCTGATCAGGATCCTCTTGATATGCCAGTTGTAACTGATAGTCCTTGGACTTTAATTGACAAGTCAACAAAATTAAAGTTGCTTTGGACAATTCCTGTAACTAATTTTGTACCTGCTAAAGGGAGCACTGCTTTGAAGCGTAAAGCCAGTGAGAGTAATATTTCTAAGCCAAAGAAATCCAGACAAATTATTGAAGAAAATAGCCACTCACCTCAAGGATTTATCTGGGATAATCAAGATTATAGCTGTCCATATGATAGTTTATTTAGCATTCTCTATAATCTCTGGCTTGAAAGTTCTGATGAATGGACTGAGAAATTATCAAGCATTAATGACTATACAAAGCTACTTATAGAAGGCTTTCAAGATGTTGTTCATAGTAATTCTACTCTAGAAGAGGCCAAAGACAGAGTATGAGAAGCGTTGTATTTTGTGAAGCCAGATAAATTTCCAAAGGGTAGAAATAATGCAAGTGTAGCTGAACTTGCCTTTGAATTATTTCAGACTGATAGTGAAGATGCACAAGTAGAAATATTCTGTAATAATTGTGACTATACTAGAATCTTTTCTGATACTATTGGATATGCTGCCAATCTTGAAGGATATCAAGTCTCATCAACTCAACATTGGATTTCAGATATGAAAGAAAGTTGTCAAGAGACTTGTCCTGAGTGTAGTGAGACTTTGATATACCAGAAAACTTATACTAAGATACCAAAAATATTAGTTCTTGAGTATCCATTCTGTAATATTAGGACAAGCCATAAGATAAAAATCAAAGTTAATAGAAAGACACATGTACTAAAATTAAAGGGAATGGTTTATCATGGTGATAATCATTTTGTATCAAGAATTGTAGGCAATGATGGAACAATCTGGTTTAATGATGGCATGACTACTGGTAGACAATGTACAGAATTGTATTAGCAGTCTATGCTTAATTCAATAGCTATAAGAGGTGGTGGGTGGGCATAATTTCATAGAATATTTCTGTAACTAATTACTTGCTATACAAAATTAATCTATATCAATATTAATTATATTTCAGCTAAAGCTACAAGAAGAAAGAAGGCCTCATACATGCCATGCGTAGCAATGGCCCACCAAAACAAGTATCATGGTCTTTACTGACTCTATGGGCTCAGCCCACAGAGCAGTTGACCCCTCCATACATTCTGGCCAGGCCTTTAGTCTGTCAGTCTGTCGCACTCTCCAAGAGTGGTTTGAGGTGGATGATCTCCACTGCATCACCTTTGTCTACGTTCCATCTGCATTGCGGTGGGATATCCATGGTGAGGCACACAAGTACATCACTGAACTCAAAGTCAGGGTTGGACGTCACAAGACAGACAATTCTATAGATGTGCTTCGCTCTAGAGCTGCACACTCAGTCCTGGATTCATGGAGTTCCACTTTCCAGGATCCAACTTATCAAGGCTCTGAATTTTTAGAGCTTCAACAGCCTGACAGGTGGCTGATCCAGCCATCGTACTTCAATGGGGGATCTTGGCTTTCAACCTTCAGACACAGTATCACTGAGTTTGCTCGCATTTGCCAGTGTATAACTGGCGATGCGCCCATTGGAGCGTACTACTGTCACTTCAAGATTAACGAGCCTCATGGCTGCACTTGCGGGGCTGCTTTACAGTCTCATCAGCATGTCCTCTTTCACTGCTGCAATAGATATTCTGTACACTATCCCCGTTTTCTCAGGGATATTGCATCGTTTCTGAAGCACAACCCTACAGTGTTTGGCTTCAACCGGGACTCTTCGGGTGTTGGATAATCGCTGTGGATGGGGTTATTCCTCTTTTGGGGGGATTTAGACCTGAGCCTGCAACTACTTCTCCATGCTTGTGGCCCACTATTATACCAGGTTGCAGCACTGCTAACTTTCTGCATCTGGTTTTGGGCAGGCGCTTCTTTGGCTTGTCGGCCTCAAGACACCCTGCCACCTCCAGGGTGGTGCTTTTCTTATCTCATTTGCACTGCGTGGCCTCCGAACAGCAATTGATGACTTTGGGGTGTAGCGTAACCTTGATGGTTTCCTCCCCTTATCCTGATGCACCATTTTCATGAGGTGGGTTGCCCTCCGGGAAGCTTCAGCATATACACCAGAAGGGTCTTGGTTGGAGGGGCGGTCATGCTTTAATGCTTAATTTAGTAACCAGGCCATGTAGCATACGTGTTTGTAGATAGCGAGCAGCCTGCCATTGAGCACCGCTATATAAATTATTGATAAAAAAAAAAAAAAAAAAAAAAAAAGAACCAGGCAGTCATGTCCTGTTTCCAAGTGTTGTAGTTGGTTGCATTGAGTTTGAGGAACTTGGTATTGTGGGCCATTGCTTTGCATGGCAATTACAAGTTCATTTTTGTCTCATATCTTTAGCTGTCCTATTTATTCTTTTATTAATTCTTCTGCACTCTAAGCAATGGGGCAAGTTTGATATTCTGACTGAGGAATAAACTACTGTACATGGGTATTTATGCCATGTAGAATAACATACTATGATTATATAGTAGATAACTCAACCAAGACAATAAGAACAATAAAGAATAATAGAACAATGGCTTGGAGACACAATGGGATGAGCTAGAGACATGGCACATGTTGGAAGCATTCTGGAGGCTCAGAGCTCATTCCTGGATGTCTAAGAAGCATCTGAAAAGTGCACAGCTCAATACCAGGAGCCTTGGAAGCCAGATAATAGCCTTGGAAGTTGCATAATCGAGCCAGGAGCAGGGGGATGGGTTGTGACAAATGCTGGCATATTTCAATTATTTCTGGGTCATTTTAATTTTAATTTAAAATATCATAAATCATGAAATATTCATAACTCTCAGTAGAGGTCTTGAACATGGGAAAATTCCCAGATTTGGTAGATCCACAGTCAAATTAATGCTTCACACCCCTAAAAATATAAAAATGTGGCTTCACTGGCCTCTCTCCCAGACATCCCCTAGCTAAAACAAATCTGCATTAATGAGGAGTCATAATGTTCAGTTACATTGGTCCCAAAATATCAGTATTGTGGACAGAATTGTGTGGACAATTGACTAAATAGTGCTGATTTCTAAAAATAGCTGAAAATGTGCACTCAAATCTCTACCCCTGGCAAGGACCAGAGCACTGGAACACCTTGGCAGCATTATGTAGGATACAGAAGGTCTTTAGTAAATGCAGAGTTCATAGATGCACATTGATTATTCATGGCTGCATATTTGAATTACTAAAAACCCAAAAATGCGCATATTGCAATATCTTGGCACTCAGACCATTGACAGACCTGAAAGTCAGTACAGATGTATATCTAATATGGTTGATAATAGCCTCAAATTTATAGACCTGTAGCATCAGTAGGTGTTGAGATATAGAGGTGCAGGTTTGTTGGATTAAAACAATGTGCATATTTCAGTAGAAGGGGATTGTATTATAGCATACAGTACTAGTATTAGTGTAATCTGTTCAATGTACATTAGATAGAGAAATATAATTGAGTCTTCTTCCAATACATGAAGTGTGAACAGAATAAAAAAATAAAACATCCTGAATAACATCTACTGTAGTCTTAGCCTGTCCTCTGAGCATCTTGAGGACACTCTGAGGGCACTATAAGATTTTACACCTAGAAACATAGGCTTCAGGAGCCTTACTGTCCTTGGTGTCTTAGATGTCTCAGATTGTCCTCAAAACAACCTAAGACAAAAAGGTTTTTCCTGATGTGCCAAAGATAAGCAACTCAGGATAAAGGACTGAGGAGATATGAGGTTCTGAAGTCCAGAGTGAGAAACTAGTCATATTGGGTAATACAGGATAAACTACTTGCCTGAAGTCCAGAGTGAGAAACTGGGGACTTTAGGCATCTGACAGCAGTCATATATATACTAAAGAACAAAGGGAAACCCAAATGGAGACTGGGAACAATAAGAATGATGAAGGTAACCAAGTGGATCTGGGATCTGATCTGTGATCAGATGCAGATCCAGAGATCAGATGAATCTACAGATGTATCTAGATAAGATGAAATTGAATGGGAATAGATCTAGACCACTTTGGGATGAGTCAGGTGATGTCACCTGATCATGTGAGGACACAGTCATGTGCAGTCATGTGGTCCAACCCCATATAGAAGTTGAGACATGTGATGGAAGTTTTAACAAATTCCCCAGTCCTGTCACAGGCAAGCATGTTTCAGAAACTCTTGAAGGAAATGGAGGGCTCAAAGGTGCACAATGAGGACCTTTCCACTATACCAACCTTCTTAAATGAAGCTATTGGGATCTTGTCAGAGCAGTAAGCTGTTGCACGATCACCTGGACTGATTTGAGTTCATCTTGTGTTGTACAGGTGAAGAATTGGCACTGGATTGGATGCTGAGACACTTGAAGGGCGTCGCAAACACCTCCGTTCATGCATTGACAAGTGGCATTGATCGCAGAAGATAATAACCCCTCAGGTGACTGATTTTGTGGTGAACCAAGCATTGACCAGGAAGCTAGCAGACAACCCCGAAAAGGAGAAGCTCTTTATTCCTTCCTCATTTGACAGAACGCAGCATAAAGAACTAAACCTTCATGAACTTGGGAAACAGGAATGAGAGCTTCACAAAGGTGCCACATTCGATGCAATCACAGCTGTTAGGACAATTGTCTCTCTCGAGGCCCAGAATCATGTGTACGTTAGTCTGACTTGCCATTTATCAAAGGTTGCACAGCTCCTACAAAAGAGACAAAAGGGAAAGGGAAACGGCAACATGTTGCAAAAGATGTATCTGAGAAGGAAGGTGTTGAAGATTCAAAGGAATTGGAGTGACCGGGTGCGTCAGATCTTTATATCTGATGTCTGACATTCCTGATAGGGTTCAAGAGGGCTGGATTTGGATGTTCAAGCCACATGCCCTGTCTGACAAGGAGCTCCAAGCATGGATCAAAGAAGGTATTTTATCCTTTGATCATCTCTCTTCTCCCTGTCTCATGAGAACTGGAGGCGATCATGTGCAGTGGTTTAGAGCAGAGGCTGAGATGTTGCGCTGGCAAGAAGAATGGAAGATCAAGCAGGCTGATTTCCTTTGCTGCATCTGTTACTTCAAGAAGCTGGCCTCCATTTGGCAAACATTAGCTGAGGAGAGCGAAACTGCTGGAAAGGTGGCTTATGCAAAGAAGAAATCTGCTATGTTTAGTCAGTTCAAATGCAACAGACATGAGCATTTTGAGTGCGCTGGGTATGGCCATCTCCTATCCATGCCAGAAGGCTGTATTCTCACTGATTTTATCCAAGCAGAGCGCTCTAAACCTGATTGCATCCACCCAGCCCACCAATATTACTCCATACATCAATCATTGCTTCTTGATACTGTCAGAACTGAGGTGGGCAACCAGCAGGACTCTTCTTTACCAACTCCTGCAGAAAGTATTCACATGAGCTCAACGTAGCTCATGCCCTGGTAATCAGTTTAATCATCAATGTGGATTGATCTTCTAATTGGTAACTTTAGATCCATCATACAGTCAAGTTCTGGATTAAACTACATGTTTTATGGCTTGGATCTTTATCCAGATTAATCCAGACTGGTTTAATCTGCTTCCGCTTTTTTGTCCAGCAGCATTGTTCTCATCCATGGGCTATATAAAGATTAGATTAGATTAAATGTTTAATCTGCCCTCACTCTTTGTCCAGTAGCCTTTCCTCTTCAACATGTATCATACAGATTAAATCGATTGAATTCAATCTAATCCACCATCACAATGGGTTGAAGATTAATCAAAGTCGATACGGTTACAGGTTTCCGAGCTATTATGATGCTCAAGAAGAAGAGTGATGCTTTCAATGCATTCCAGTTGTACAAAGCTTATGCTGAGAATCAACTTGGATGCAAGATCAAGTCAATGCAGGATGACAAGGGTGGGGAGTACATCTCAACTGCCTTCATCAAATTCATAGATGATTGTGGCATATTTCGATGTCATACCACTCACAACTGTCCCCAGATGAATGGTGTAGCAGAACGTACTAATCGTACAATTTCTGATGTTTTTCTTTGTTTTTTTTTTTTTTGATCAACAATTTATATAGCAGTGCTCGATGGCAGCCTGCTCGCTATCTACAGAACATATACACTATGCAACCTGGGTACTAGGTTAACTACTTAAAGATGATCGCCCCCCCAACCAAGACTCTTTGGGCTCAAACACCTAAACTCTCCAGAGGGCAACCCACCTTGCGAAAATGGTGCATCAGGATAAGAGGAGGAGACCATTGAGGTCCTGCTATGCCCCATAGTCGTCGATTGCTGTTCAGGGGCCATGCAGCGCAATGAAAATAAGAATCACACCACCCAGGAGATGGCAGGGTGTCTTAAGGCCAACAAGCCAGAGAAGCGCCTGCCTAAAACCAGACGCAGAAAGTTAGCGGCGCCGCAACCCACTACAATAGTGGGCTGCAAGCGCGAATGAATGATTGTGGGCGCAGGTCTCCAATCCCTAAGGGCCGCTAGTGTCAATTCACCGATAAATCCCCTGAAAGGAGGAATAACCCTGCCCATAGCGATTATCGGACACCCAAGGGGTCCCAGTTGAAGCCAAACACTGTAGGGTTGTACTTCATAAAGGATGCAATATCCCCGTTTTCTCAGGAATAGTGTGTAAAATATCTGTCGCAACAGCAAAAGAGGATGTGCTGGCAAGCTGCAATGCAGCCCCACAAGTGCAGCCGTGAGGCTCATTAATCTTGAAGTGACAGTAGTATGCTCCAATGGGCACATGGCCAGTTATACACTGGCAAATACAAGCAAACTCAGAAATACTGTGTCCAAAGTATGAAAGCCAAGGTCCTCCATTGAGGTACGATGGCTGGATCAGCCACCCATCAGGCTGTTGAAGCTCTAAGAACTCAGAGCCCTGATAGGTACTGTCCTGGAACATGGAGCCCCATGTGTCCAGGACTGAGTGCATGGCCTGGGAGTGCAGCACATCTATAGAATTATCCGTCTGAAGACATCCAACCCTGACTTTAAGCTCAGTAACGTACTTGTGCGCCTCACCATGGATGTCCTACCGGAGAGCGGAAGGGACGTAGATGAAAGTGATGCAGCAGAGATCATCTGCCTCAAACCACTCTTAGAGAGCGTGACAGACTGACAGACTGAAAGCCTGACCAGCATGCACGGATGGGTCAACTGCTCTGTGGGCCGAGCCCATAAAGTCAGTGAAGACCATGATATGTTGACAGTTTGCCTGCTTGACAGCAAGGTGAACTGCACATGCAATGGCATTGAGTTCCACATCTGGGGCAGTAACCCTGCCAGAGATGTAGCAAGTCCTTTCAATCTTGTGATGTCTCTTGTAGATGATAGCAGCTGAAGTCGCCTGATACTGGTTAGACTGAGGGATAGAGCCATCAGCTGCAGCCAGTACTGTTAAAGGGTCGGCCCTCATAGTCGCAATGAGCTCCAGCCATGGATGCTACCCTGAGATATTTTAATGGACAGTTGTCTATTGAAGGTTATACATCAGAGCCTTCAACTATCCTTTTGGACAACTGTCCAACAACAATGAGTGTCTGCCTGAAGCAATGCAAAATTTCTAATAGATATATATAGAAATAAAACTGTGATGCCCAGTCTGATCAGAGGATCATGTGACTTTTTAAATGCCTTTTTAATCAGGCTTAGCTTCTGCAACCCTGTTATTCTGGCCTCAAATAGAAACAATTAATAAATATGAAGTGATGGCACCTAATGCTGGTGTAACTTATGAGATATAGAGTTATCTTTATCACTGATCCCATCAGTGTGACTGTCACAAACACTAAGTTGGACTTTGCAAAAATATATCCAAGTCCAGTTTATTGTTGGCATGGACAGTTGACTAAAGCCTTTGGTAAGCAACTATTTTTGCCAAGTCACATGACTGTGAGAATTTTCTTTTTTGGAAAATTTAAAATGTGATTAAAAGCCTTCTAAATAACTATTTGCCATGTCATATGACTATGGGAATTTCCTTTTTGAAAAGTTTTAATGCAGCTAAAAAGCCCCAAATTAGCTCATTTTAGCACTATATAAATGATGCTATTTGGTGTTGTTTACATTGAGATATGAGCCAAACAATTGCTAAATTTTCAAAACCACCAGGATTTTTTAAATATTTTGCATTTTTCTCATCAATGATAAGGAATATCACTATTATTCAAGTAGATTCAGGCTCATCAAAAGATGCTTCATCATCCAAAAAGGAAATATTAGTCAGCAATATTTTTAAATATGTTGGACAACTGTCCATTTGGACAGTTGTCCAACAAACTAAATACATCTAACAGCCATCTATATCACTCTACAACTGTGCATAATAGACAGTTGTCCAGGAGGATAGTTGTGCACTCTGATGTATAACCTTTGTTGGACAACTGTCCATTTTTTATACTTCAGAGTGGCAGCTACAGATGTGAGCTCATCTAGGTATGGGCGCCTATCCTGGGTAGGATCACGCTCGTCAAAGTGGAGACAGTCTGCGTAGTGGTCCAGTAGCTGATCGCTGGGGCAAGCTTTGGGCGCAAAGGGCTCAAAGCTCTCAGTTAAGGTGTGGACACATTTGTCCACCTCCATGACGGTGCTCTTGACCTTTCCCCACATAGCAGGGGTCATCAGAGCAGCAGATTGGGCATGAGGTTGGGCCCGCTTAAGAAGCCTCTCACCCATCATGGAGCAGAGAGGGTGAGTGTCTGAGAGGGTCACTAATGGCAACCACCATTTATCATATCATAGAGGCAATTGCTCTACAAGCCCTATGTATATTGCCCAATATTTAATCAGATGGTCTCATCATACTTGCCCTATCTTTTCATTCTCATTTCTCACTGAAGCAATTTCATAATTGTCTTTCATTGTTGCCCCCCTAATTTCATTGTAGTATTTCATTTCTATTTCATTGCTTTGCCTGTAGATTTCATTTCATTTCATTTTTTGTCTATGCTTCTCATTGTCATTTCTTCATTTCTCTATCTTATTTCCTTTCATTATTGCCTTGCTTTCTGTTTATAGGCAATTTCTGAATTAGGTATTAGCACTTGATGTGTTGGCTCTGCTTTTGGCCATCCATTGAGGGCCCGTTGCCTGCCTCTTTAGAGTTCTTTTCAATTTGAGGCCACTTTTTGATGAGTACCAAGCTCAAGCATTTAGTTAGAGGCATGTTGAAATCATCAGTTGTATTATATAATCACATCAACTCAGCCTAGATAGGCACTTATGATAGGTATCAATGAAATATCTGCCCAGAAAGTTATGAAACTGTCAATAAAAGGGCCTGCCAATATATCTTTGCGATTTTCATAACATCTTGCAATGAGATATCAATGAAATTGCAGCCTATTATCAATGTCATTTCTTTGCCATGACAATGAAATTCTGTCTATGATAATAATGAGATAATTAGAGGCAGCAATGAGAATGAAAGGGATAGAGCAAGTATAATGAGACCATCTCATTAAATATTGGACCATATACATAGGGCTTGTAGGGCAATTGCCTCTATGATATGATAAAAGTGGCAGCCACTAGTCAGAGGATAGCAACACGATACACTGCATGTGTTGCCAGCTTCTTTAGCATGAGTTGGATGGGAATGAGGCCTGCAAGGGCTTCAAGAGGGGATGCTAACAATATGAAATATGCAGGTCACATGACTGTGAGAAATTTCCTTTTTAGGAGAAAATAATTGCAATAAACAATGATCCTGAATCCACTTGAGTGATGGTATTTGGCTCTATTAATGACAAGATATAAGCCAAATAATGCCAAAATTTGCAAAAGTAATCTACTTTTTCAGTATTTTGCATTTTTCTTGCCAAGCAGAGCAGCTGATGACATCAAATAACTTGATTCAGGGTCAACTGAAGATGCTCTACAAATCCTGATGCTTTTTCCTAAAAAGAATGATTATTAAGCATCTTATTACATACTCTATATACTGGACTTGGGCAATTGCCCAACAGACTATTATCTATTCTGATGTGTAATAGGTACTGGGTAGTAGTCCATTTTGATACATATACTGGAGTCCAGTGGAGTCCAGTAAGACTCCAGTATCACACTCCAGTAGAGTCCAGTATACTTTCTTACTGGAGTCTACTGGAGTCCACTGGGGTCTACTGAACTCCAGTATAATTCCACTGGACTCCACTAGACTCCACTGGATAATATGCCAACTCCACTGGACTCCAGTGGAGTCCTATAGCACTCTGTAGGGGACCACAAAGTACTGAGAGATTGAGATAAAGGAGAAGAGTGGATGTGATTTGCTGACTCCTCAATAGGCTCTGTGACTCTGTTCAACTGGGCACTGTTATTGGACAGAATGGGCGCTTGGAACAAGATCTGTCCATTATGCTTGAAATTTATATGAGTTCTGCCAATATGAATGTCAAAGCCCTTGTGACATGTGAGATAGAGACAGGCCAATAAATTATTTCAGAGATGAGTTAATTCTACAGATCGAACCTTCTTTCCATTTACAACTGGGTTGAAAACCACAGTACCCACCCCAGCAGAATAAATAATGCTGTTGTCAGCTAACTTGACTGGGATGCAAAGGGAAGCATAATTGCATATCCAGTGACAATGAGAGGTCATATGAGAAGTGGCCCCTGTGTCTGCAACCCAATCAAAGTCAGCATCCATTTGCAATGGGGTGGACGGATTGGAAGGATCAAAAGTAGAAAGAACACTTGCATTTCCAGCAAATTCAACAACTTCCTTCTTGTCATCTGGAACCTCCTGGGCCTTATTTGCCTTTGCTTTGCCCTTGTTCTTTGCTCTGTCCTTGGCTTTAGCAGACACATCTGCATAGGCATAGCACTTTTCAATGACATGACCAGTGCAGCCACAGAAAGTGCAATGGATGAGATGAGAGGCGAGTATGGTCCGCCTCTTTCTCTTGAACGCCCACTTGTCAACAAGCACAAACAACCAGCTCACCGTCTCGCACCACTTCTATCAGCCAGATACATGTATCAGACACTGGGTTTAACCAGTGTGAACTCATAGATCAGGACTATGATTAAGCAGTCAGGTTTTCCGAGGCTCCTGGAGGGAGTTTGCTGGAGATGCTGGGGCTATAGAGATTTATTTGTTTGGAGGTGGGAGGAGGTAAATAAATGACCAAACAACCCTCCTGGGGGTGGGGCAGGGGTAGGGTAGGCCTGTGGAGGTGGGAGGGGTGGGAAAGGCATGGGAAATCTGTCCAAAACAGGCAGGAATGGTGGGGAATGCATGATAGGGGCTAGTGGGATGGCAGGGTGGGTTCTGGGTGCGGTGGGGGGCTAAAAATGGGTTGGGCAGGGCTAGATATGCATGCTAATAATTGTCATGGCCCCCACAGGGTGCGGGATGGGCTGGGGACCCAAAAACGCGAAAAATCCAGAGACTTTTGCATTTTTAATTGAATAACAAATTGAAAACTTAATATTTCGGTGTGAAACTTTGGGGACCTTTGTATCTATAGTGGGGGGTGCTTCATGAATATTTTGAGTATTTATTATGAATTATGGGGTGTGCCACACAGCCAGGAATAGTGTGCGCGGTGGTGCTTTGCCAAATTTGGCAATAAAATGATGGGTGCACATCTGTGCATAATTCTGGCTCGCCCTTGCATTATCTCACTTAGCTTTGGCTGAGCGAAATGTTGGGTACATTGATACCTTCATGTAGATCCTGTTATTGCATGAAACGGGTGAGAACTCGTTGAGATATGACAAATGTGATTTTGGCTACTATAATGCATGTGAGTAGTATATATTTATTCATGAATTTAACATATTTTATCATAATTTTATATTGCCTGGAAGTTGGGTTATTGACTGATTTCACACAAGCTAAGATATTCTATTGACATCCAGGATGGGTTATAGTGGCCCATGTAAAATTATGATAAATGATGATAAATGTATAGAAACAGAACAAAATACTTGCAAGGGCAAGGGGATGAATCTGTGTAAAGTTATTAAGGGGAGAAGGAGGAGGTAATCCCCCACATCAGTATCTATCTATATGCTTACCAAATCCACATATCGCACCCATTCAATGGTGCGTTAGGGTCAGGATAATGTCCCTTAACATATTTCAGTAGTGATGGATGAGGCTCGGATGCCTGGGTGAAATGGTATTAGAGAAAGAGCTGAAAATGTGCAAAAAACACGAAAATAATTAAAATGCCTACCTCGGACTTGTTCAAAAATTACCAAACTTCGTATATGAGGAGCTATTAGCATTCTGAAGGGACTGCACAAGACCAGATGAGATTCAGACCAGTATGTGCAAAGATATGCAAAAGGGTATCAGAATGACAGTAAGAGCATCACCTTTCTATGGCAACTTTCTGTTGCATCTGGTGCTTTGGGAGTTCATTTTGCATATCTTTGCACATACTGGTCTGAATCTCATCTGGTCTTGTGCAGTCCCTTCAGAATGCTAATAGCTCCTCATATACGAAGTTTGGTAATTTTTGAACAAGTCCGAGGTAGGCATTTTAATTATTTTCGTGTTTTTTGCACATTTTCAGCTCTTTCTCTAATACCATTTCACCCAGGCATCCGAGCCTCATCCATCACTACTGAAATATGTTAAGGGACATTATCCTGACCCTAACGCACCATTGAATGGGTGCGATATGTGGATTTGGTAAGCATATAGATAGATACTGATGTGGGGGATTACCTCCTCCTTCTCCCCTTAATAACTTTACACAGATTCATCCCCTTGCCCTTGCAAGTATTTTGTTCTGTTTCTATACATTTATCATCATTTATCATAATTTTACATGGGCCACTATAACCCATCCTGGATGTCAATAGAATATCTTAGCTTGTGTGAAATCAGTCAATAACCCAACTTCCAGGCAATATAAAATTATGATAAAATATGTTAAATTCATGAATAAATATATACTACTCACATGCATTATAGTAGCCAAAATCACATTTGTCATATCTCAACGAGTTCTCACCCGTTTCATGCAATAACAGGATCTACATGAAGGTATCAATGTACCCAACATTTCGCTCAGCCAAAGCTAAGTGAGATAATGCAAGGGCGAGCCAGAATTATGCACAGATGTGCACCCATCATTTTATTGCCAAATTTGGCAAAGCACCACCGCGCACACTATTCCTGGCTGTGTGGCACACCCCATAATTCATAATAAATACTCAAAATATTCATGAAGCACCCCCCACTATAGATACAAAGGTCCCCAAAGTTTCACACTGAAATATTAAGTTTTCAATTTGTTATTCAATTAAAAATGCAAAAGTCTCTGGATTTTTCGCGTTTTTGGGTCCCCAGCCCATCCCGCACCCTGTGGGGGCCATGACAATTATTAGCATGCATATCTAGCCCTGCCCAACCCATTTTTAGCCCCCCACCGCACCCAGAACCCACCCTGCCATCCCACTAGCCCCTATCATGCATTCCCCACCATTCCTGCCTGTTTTGGACAGATTTCCCATGCCTTTCCCACCCCTCCCACCTCCACAGGCCTACCCTACCCCCGC